GTGTGTGTGTGTGTGTGTGTGTGTGTGTGCGCGCGCTAATACGACCTGCGTGTGTGTGTGTTTGTGTATTCAGTGTGTGTGTCTAATATGAGTGTGTGTATTTTGTGCAGAGTGAGTGATGCAGGGACAATTACATCATTCACCGACCTGGGAAATCATTTTAGAGATGCTCCACTTAAAGGCAACACACACACACACACACACACACACACACACACACTCTGGCTAACCTCCATGTTCCTGCTGACGGTGGTTTAAAGTCGGCAGCTGCCAGAATCTGTGTGTGTTTGTTCAGTTTGTTAAATTTATGAACGAGTTTCAGCAGAAAACAGGATTTACTCATTAAAACTAAGTTAATTATCGTAATAAACCTGATTTATCAACTAAAACCAGGTTAATTATCGTAATAAACCTGATTTATAAACTAAAACCAGGTTAATTATTGTAATAAACCTGATTTATAAACTAAAACCAGGTTAATTATGGTAATAAACCTGATTTATGAACAATTTTGGATATTTTCTAGTCATTTTAGAGAATCTTTTAGTCGTTTTAAAAGAGTTTTGTGTCATTTTTGACAAACTGAAGTCATTTTCTAAAATATTTTAGGCAAGTTTGTTTTATTTTTTTGGATTTTTGGACAAACTTGAGTCATTTTGGACAATATTTAATCCAGTCTGGACAAAGTTTGAATAATTTTGGATGAATTTCGGTCCAGTTTAAACAATATTTAGTGATTTTAGACTTTTTTTTTTTTTTATTTTGGTCAATCTTGAGCCATTCTGAATGATTTTTAAGTGGCTTTGTGCATTATTTAATCCAGTTCGAACCATTCTTTTGTCATTTTGGACATTTTGGACATTTTTGGACATATTTTGTGTCATTTTGAAAGATTCTTGAGTCATTTTTGGACAGAGTTTGTCCAAAATAAATCATTTTTGAATGAATTTCAATCCAGTTTGGAAAAGTTCTGAGTGATTTTGGAGAATATTTAACCTAGTTTGGCCAAATATTGAGCTACTTTGGACATATCTCAGTAATTTTTGACAAACCTGAGTTGAATTTTAAGACATTTCGCACAACTTTGAGCCACTTTGGACAATATTTAACCAAGTTGGGACAATTTTTGGACAATTTTTAATCATTAAGGATGATTATGAGTCACTTTGGTAAGTTTTGGGTCATTTTGGACAATATTCAGTCCAGTCTGGACAAACTTTGAATCATATCGAATGAATTTCAACACAGTTTGGAGAGTTTTAAGTGAATTTGGAGAATTTTTTTGGCATCTTTGACAAACTTGAGTCATTCTAGACTAGTTCTGAATCTTTTTGGAGAATACTTAGCCTAGTTCAGACACATTTTAGCTATTTTGGACATATTTGACTCATTTTTGACCAACCTGACTTGAGTTTTGAGTCATTTTTGGACAATCTGGAGTCACTGTGGATGGACGTTTGTGTCAGCAGGTGTAACTAACGTCCACGTGGAAGCTGCAGGGACGTGATGAGCTGCTGTCTCTAATCAGGATAACGGTGATACGGTGATGAGGCGGCCTTTCTCTGCACACGATCTGTAACACGAGAGCGCCGAGGCCTCCAGATGGCTCGGATCCATTAACTGTGTGTTTGCGTCTTAACAGTCTGCAGAGGATGTTTTATGTCCTGGAGCTCGTCTTCCTCCTGAAACATCTCTGCCTCCCTTTAATTCTTCGTCTGCATCAAACTCCCGCTCTGACAGTAAACAAGCCTCCACAGCAGCTGCTCTGTCTGTCCGTCCATATGTCGGCCCGTCCCACCGTCTGAATGTCACCGTGAGCGCCGGGAACCGTTAAGACGCTCAGCGGACAAACGGTGAGCTCGGCGAGGCGGTAGAACCGGACCGAAGGAGACAGTAATCAGATTACTTCTGAGTGTAACTGTGGGATGTTCGGCCTCATGCAGAACTAAAAAACTACTAGTTTTGGATTCAGGAGATTAAAAACACGCGGTTGGAACAAAGACTTCTTTCACTACGGAGATTAAAACATTTAAATTTCTCTCATGCATCCGACCAGATTTCTGATTTAGACTCAATCCTCCTCGATGCGCCGGATAACGAATGTTCTGTCACTCTGGTTCCTTCAGAATCAGGCTGATGCTGAAACTTCGTCTTTAAAATCCCACAAACTTGTTCTGTTGGATTCAAGCCACTGGTTCGGTTGTAGTTTCACTATTTTGGACACATTTAGTCATTTATAGAGTTTAGAGGCTGTTTGGAGAACCTTCAATCACACGAGTCTTTGGTTCTTTCATGGGTTTATTAAAGGTCGTCTGGAAATATGACAAAATGCTGAGTCATAAATATACAAACAGAAACTTGAATGATCAGTTTTGGTGA